TTTTTAAATGTATTTGGTTGTTAAAGGGACAGGCTCACTACACAGCTTGGACTCATAGTGATCCTCCTGTTTGCAGCCTACCCAAGACTGGGATTACAGGCATGCACCACCACTCCCGGACTCTGGTGAGCTCAGCCCGCCCTGAGGGCAGTGCTGGTGTGGCATGTGGTGCTAGGGATCAGCTGTGGTCCCTGTTCTGGCCTAAATTTGCCTAAGCAGGCACTGGCCTAAGTTTGCCTAAGCAGGTGCTTTAGTCTATTGAGCTATCTTGCCAGCCCTTATTTTTTGTTTTGAGATAGGATCTCACTGAAATTTCCAGGTAAGACTCAAACTCATAATCCTCCTGCCTCAGCCTAAAGGATAGGATTCCAGGAATAGCTCTTGAATATAGTAACTGGACAGAACTCTGGACTTGGGAAGGATGAATACTCCACTTGAAAAGTGCTTTCTTAACCTATCACAGAGACATTTTAGAATTTTTAGAAGAGGCAAGCAGCAAGTAGTTGCTGCAAGAGACTGTTTCAATTGACCAGCCTACTTTCCTCTGGATAATCATTCCTTTCCCAGCTCCACGGGGCCCTAAACAAGCAGCCAATCAGTGTCCTACAGAATGAAAACATGATTGAAACTGGGCCAATCAGCATGCACAGTGATTGGTTTCATTGTGACCATGACCCAACCAGGGCCTTTCCTGCACTAGGAATTAATTGTGTGTGTGTGTGTGTGTGTGTGTGTGTGTGTGTGTATTTTTTAATACTAAGTTTAAAATGCAGAAGCTAAGGTCAACTGAATCAACTGTTATAAACTGGATCAACTCACTTAATCCTTCTAACAACCTTACTTTTATAATTTGCATTGCACAAATAAGAAAACTGAGGCCAACGAAATATAGGAAATAAAGCCATGCTGTTATGTTGAGCTGTGGGGGACTCAGGTCAATAATTTCTGACATTGCCAGTTAAACAGAAGACCCAATGCTATTATGGGCTACTGGACTCTTTGAGAATATTTTGCTGAGTTTACACACCTATAATATTCAATAACGGAACTTAGGAAAAATGGGGTATACCGATGAATGTCCATTTTGTATCTGTGTATTCAAAGTGGTTAGGATAGATATATAGTTACATTCTCTTAATGAATAGAATGATTTGTTCTAATGGTGTTTGTAAATAGGATCACAAGTCCGCATCTTGTACAGCAATTAACCACTAAGAAGAATATATACAGTGTATGATTTGTTGAAACTGTACTTTTAATTTGATTTGAAACTGTCTCATTGCTATCTGTTTAACAATAAAACTTTGAAAAAAAAAAGAAAACTGAGGCCATATCCAGGTATAGCAAAGCAAAGGCACGTAATCCTTCAGGGGGCTAAGGAAGGAGGATTATGAGCCCAAGGTCAGCTTCAGCTACATATTAAGAACTTATCTCAAAGAAAAGAAAAAGAAGAGGCCCAAAAGGGTTACGGTAACACAGTCAGCAAGTGGTGAAGCTAACGTCTCAATTACCCCTGCTAAGCCACAAAAAAGAAGAGAGGAAAGTCAACAGTTTTCAAAGAAGTGTAGTTAGTTACTCTGTGAAGGAGGAAGGAAGATGATGTGCACTAGGAGAGGGGCACTCACCATGCAGGCCTGAGCCAGGCTCATGGCCAGGCGGAACCGGGCCGACATGGCGACAGGCAGCAGAGGGCTAAGGCCAGAGCCCACTGCAGGGTTGATCACACGCAGGCAGCGGACCACAGCCTCCACGACCAGTTCAGTGGTAAAGGCTCGGAGGGTCTGCACCTCTGGAGGGACTGCCCTGAAGAGAGAGACAGGCTCAATCAGGGAAGCAGTTAAGAAACAGGGATCAAGATACCCAATGCAAACTTTTAGAAGCCCTAGAACCCAAGCAGCCCGGAGAGGTGTCCAGGTTCAAAGAGATCCTAGTTGTTAGTGACTGTGGCTTCCATTGGGAAAACAAAGAATGACCTAAACCCTCAGGTCCTAGGACCTTCAGGGGGAAATGGTAGGCGGAAGGAACCTGAGTTCACAAAAATCTCATATTTCTGGGGTTTGAGATGGTGAAAGAAGGGGCGCTAGCAGCATGGTCTCTGTATTTCTGGGCCCCCAAATACTATGTTCTGTGTATGTCAGAGACACCTAGATACTGAGCTACTAGGGTTTAGAGAAGAATATATGTTGGGAGGCTGGAGTTTTCAGAGTTTCAAATGTTAGACTCAATGGGTGTCAAGATCCCTGAACATCAAGACCTTCTAGTTTCAAACTTTGCAAAACTTAGGCACTCAAGGTGTTGGCATCCTGGGCTTTTAGGGTCCTTAAATGGGAAGAGTTCTTGTTTGTCTGAGTGATTAAGCGCTGACTGGGATCACTAAGATTTCAGAGTCTTGGATTTTAAAAGTCCCAAGTGTTTGGGAAACTAAAGTTTAAAAGTTCATAAGTATCCAGTCCCAGAGTTCTGGGGTTTGTTTGTTTGTTGTCTTTTGTTTTTTTGTACTGAGAATCAAACTCTGGACCTCACACTTTGAAGGCAGGCACTTATGCCACTGAACTATATCCCTGGCCTTCCAGGCCCAGGGTTTTGGGAGTCCACAAGTGTCAGGACCCTGCAGTTTTAAGTTCTCTGATTCTCAGAATACAGGTATCTCCATAAATAAGGGTCCCAGGGTATTTATGTCAAGATTTGCAAATCTCAGTGCTGGGTCTTGAGGTTCCAAGGTTATAAAGTCTCAGGGTGCTTGGATCCTGGAGTCTGGGTTTACCAAATGTAGGGATCAAGGAACTTAGGAAGCCCCTGATGTCGAGGGTGTGCGTGGATCCTGGAAATCGGAGCCCTACATGTCAAGGCACCAGGTTTTAAGGTTCCCAGGTGTGTGGGGGAGGGTGGTGTCCCGGCCTTAAGAGTCCCGGATGTGGGCAGCTGAGAATGAGTAGGGGCTATGTACTTACGTGCCAGCCTGGCGCAAGGAATGGATAAGGATTCGATCTGCCTCCTCCATAGTGAAGCCGAATCCGGACTGAGGGTTGGGTCCAGGACGGCACACAGGAAAGTAGGGCGCAGCTGTTGGAGCCCTGTTCCGCGCTCCTGGTGCACAGACCGTCACAGGCAGCGAGGGGAGAACTGGGAAGCGTAGTTCCCAAAGCAGGCAAGCTTGCCCCGGAAGCTTCGAGGCCGGTGCGAATATACGCGCGCAGGCTAGAGTGTGCAGTGGATGCTGGGAGATGTAGTTCTTCCTCCAGCTGATCCTTGAGCTCAAGCAAGATGAAAAGAAACTGAGATGGAAGGGGAGGGGAGGAGAGGAACGCTGCGCGACAGAGAAGAGCTTTGTTTAAAGCGGCATTCATTATCTAGGCTATAAATGTGTACGAGTAGAGTAGAGTAGTGTGTACACCCAGCACTCTGAGAGGCTGATAAAAGAGGACCACAAGTTCCAGCTTAACCTGGGAAATTTAACAATGTAGGGAGATTCTGCCTCAAAATAAAAACTAAAAGGTTTTAAAAAAGGGCTAGGGGTGCAGCTCAAAGCAAAGACCCTAGATTTGGACCCTGGTAGCACACTCAAACACACACGTGTACAGTGAAGAGCAGGAATTTTAACACAAAGGACTCCTTCCTTCCCTTTTCTCATGTATAAGATAAAACCATTAGTCCGGTGTGACAGCGTGAGCCTGTAATCCCAGCACCTGGGAAGCTGAGGCAGGATGATCCCTGAGAATTCGAAGCCACCTGGGCTACCTAGTGAGTTCAAGGGCAACCTGAACTACACAATGAGACGCTGTCTCAAAAAAAGAAAAACAAAGACTGCTCTAAAAAGACTATAATAATGTTTACTAGGATTAAAACCCAATTATTTAAAGTGGGATGTGCTATATGTCTGACACACAGTACAGTAATAAAGCACTATGTAAACTAGTTACCAGTCTTCATGCATTCAGTGTTTCATTTTATTTTTAAAGTGTTTCATTTTAATATGCTCTGCATATTTCTACACTCCAAAGAATAATGACACAGCAAAAAGCTATTTAACCACTACTCAGTAGTGTCAACATTTGCCAGAAATCAAGTGTTTTCATATGTGGCTCTGTTTTGAACTATATTCTGTTCTTAAATATTGTAGTTTTATAACAAGCTTTGGTATAAGAAAAAGGTAAACTCTCCAATCTTGTTATTTTACAAAGGATTTTGGCCTTCCCAGCACCTTTGTACACTGATACACAGTCAGAAACATGTTATCAAATTCTATGAAACAACTCTTTTGAAATATTTGTTGGATTGCATTAAATTTATAGGTTGCTCTGGGAAGAACTGATTATCATCTCAATACTGAATATTTCAGGAAGTAAACATATTTCTTTAATTTTAAGTATCCTTTAATATTTGATCTTTTTGCCACAGATATATTGCACATATGTTAGGTTGTAGGATGGGGTTTTTTGCATGTATTTCAAATTTCAGATACTACTGAAAAACAATATCATTTTTCTTATTTTAATTTCTGGCTTCTTGCATCTATTTGGTAAACATTTAATCCGTGTCTTTTCTGTTGTTGTGCTCTGGCCCACAAATGTCTCATTTGTGCCCCTATTCACTCTCCTGTTGGACACTGTTATTGCTCCGCCCTGTGACCTTAATCTCTCCAAAGCTGGGGGAGGACAGGGGGGCTATGTGCAGATGGCCCTTCAATCTCCAGAGGAGGATGTCGGAATCTGAAGGCGGGAAAGGTGAGAGCAGCCATCCATCCCTACAGACCCTTGGAGCAAGCCTGGGCTCTGCTACACCCCTACCCCTCTGACCCACCCACTGCCTACTGGCCCCTACCCTGGGACAGCCTCTGAAGGGGCAAAATCACATCGCCCTGTTCCCATCCCAGCCAGTCCTAAAGACGCCACCCCCACACTTAATTTCCAAGTGAAACCCAACCTCAATCACAGCCCTGCCCCCTATCCCGATGTCCATCCCAGCTCTAACTCTAAAGCCAACCCCAAACCTTACCAACCAGAAGGCAACCGCCGGTTAGAGTCCAAACCCTACCCTGGTTACAGACCTTACCATGGACTCTAAAAGTCGCCTAACCTCAGTCTCAACCCCTAGGTGCCAGTGTTCTTACTGACTGTGGTCTATGATTTTCCAGAGAGATCACAGACCTTTTCTTTTTTCTTTCTTTCTTTCTTTTTTTTTTTTTTTTTGGCGGAACCGGGGATTGAACTCAGATCCTTGCGTTTGCCAGTCAAGCGCGCTTATCCTACTGAGCCATCTCCCCGGCCCCAACACAGACCTTTTCTTAAAAGGCAAAGCAAATATAGAGCAAGAACATGCCTGATAATAGTACTGGGCTCTAGGGTCAGGCTAACTGGGTTTGACTGCTGATTCAGCCACTTCAGTAAATCATTTAACCTCTTTCTCTTGATTCCTTTATCTGTAAAAATGGAAAAAATACTGCATTCCAGGCATTCCTCTGAATACTGAATTCACTTAATTCTCATTACACCCTTATAATATAGAAACCCTTATTATCACCCCCGTTATACAGAAAGGGAAATTGAGGCTCAGAGGGATTAGCTAATTCACCCAAGGTGACACCCAGCTAACAGTAGAGCCAGGATTTAAGCTCAGACAGCTTATTTTCTCAAAAATTTGGAATCTTAACCAGGCCAACCTACTATCCCTCAGAGACCGAAACAAAGCCCTGTGAACTGGAAGTAGCCTTAGATAAAAAAGCCCAGTTCAAAACTCAAAATCCCACTCAAAACTCAAGCCCTAACCTTGATTCTAATTCTAATCCTAACTCATTCAAATACCCAGTCTGACCCCAAATTCCAGACAAACTCCACTCCCATCTATAGGCACCTGCTTAAAATCCATCACTCAAATTTAACCTTAAATTTGCCTCCAGTTATAAACTCAAGCCTATCACAAGGCAATTTAAACTCTATCCCCAGTCAAATCCTGCATCATTCGGAAAAGTACCTTTGTCTCCTCTCCTCGCCTATAAATTCTCCCTCCACCCCCAATATTAATCTTAACACTAACTCTTGCCTCCATCCTTAACCAGAGTACCCTCAACTCTCCCTAGTTTTGTATACCCTTCTTTCCTTTCAGAGGGATGGGATCAGGCAGGAAGCAGCTATTATTGCACTAACATTATACCAATTCCTGACTGTTTCTCCACACAGACACGAACCCAGAGCCGAGTCCAGCCAATGGGGCAGGACCTGGGCCCCAGTGGGGGCTGTGCCCTGGGCCTCCAGCTGTGGGGGGTGATAGTGAGGCATCAGGCCTGGGAACCCCTAGACGAAAGACTCAGCACAGTAAGCACAAGATGGTGGCAGTGGCCAGTGCCCAGCGGTCACCCAGGGCGCTTTTCTGCCTCACCCTAGCCAATCCCCTTCGGCGGTCCTGCATCAGCATTGTGGAATGGAAGTATCCTGAAAGACTAGGGGCTATATTCAGGAATAAGGGTCACCAGGGTTTCAAGAGTCAAGGACTGGGTCAGGGTGGGAATGGAGGAAAGCTGAGGTTGTCAGTGTTCAAGGGCCAAGAAATGGATTGGAGGGGGAGACCAGAAAAGGTCACCAGGAGTTTGAGTGTCAAGGACTGGATCAAAGCAAGAGTTGGAGATGATTATGGTTTGAGGAGGGGGTGTCATACACAGAGCCTCGGTCAGAGCAGGCTTTAATAATGTCAGATCCAGCCACCTCTAAGTCAAAGGTCAGCACTGGGTGGGGTGGGCCCCTAGGGAACCTGCGGTTTCCAGTGCCACTCTGTCTGGGTCCTTGACTATGTCCACCTGAGGCCCTTTGACATCCTCATCCTGCTGACCATCTTTGCCAACTGCGTGGCCCTCGGAGTCTACATTCCCTTCCCAGAGGACGACTCCAATACTGCCAACCACAACCTGGTGAGGCCCTGCGGGTCCCCAGCCAGAGCCAGCGCCAGCAGAGGCACAGCGCACGCCTCCCAAGCACGCCCCATTCCGCTCCGACCACACAGCCCCACCTTCCATTCTGACCCCACAACCCCCGCTCCACGCCTGCCGCTCAAAGCCCCCTGCCGCTCAAAGCCCACCCCCCCCCAAAAAAAAAAAACTCCCCGCCCCGGATCTACCCCAGGAGCAGGTGGAGTACGTATTTCTGGTGATTTTCACTGTGGAAACGGTGCTCAAGATCGTGGCCTACGGGCTGGTGCTGCACCCCAGCGCTTACATCCGCAATGGCTGGAACCTACTCGACTTTATCATCGTTGTGGTCGGGTGCGTGACTCCGGGAAGGGGGACACACGCATACATCCCCACACGCACACATTCTAGCTCGGCTTCCTACCTCCAGACCCGCCGAATTCCGGGCTAGTGGAAGCTACTGCTTCTCGGCGCCCTTATTCAAAAGCCAGAATCAAGAATATTAACACATTTTAAAACCATTTGCTTTTTCAGTTACAAAGGCTTGTACTTTTTTGAGCAGAAAGGATGGGTGGAGGAGAGCCCAAGACCTGATCCCCGCTCTCCGGTCCCGTGTTCCTCCATCAGGCTGTTCAGCGTGCTACTGGAGCAGGGACCAGGGCGGCCAGGCGACGCCCCGCATACTGGAGGGAAGCCTGGGGGCTTCGATGTGAAGGCGTTGCGGGCGTTCCGGGTACTGCGGCCACTGAGGCTGGTGTCTGGAGTCCCGAGTAAGTGGCATTCCTTCCGCTGGGGGTTTGGGCTGGGATGGGCTGGGGTGGGGTGGAGCTAAACCCTCCCCCGCTTCCCATAGGTCTGCACATCGTGCTAAACTCCATCATGAAGGCGCTGGTGCCGCTGCTGCACATCGCCCTGCTCGTGCTCTTCGTCATTATCATTTATGCCATCATCGGACTCGAGCTGTTCCTCGGACGCATGCACAAGACGTGCTACTTCCTAGGATCTGGTCAGCTAGCCTCCCCCTCTCGGGACAGGACGCACTCCTTCCCCAGCCTCCCCGACCCCAGCTAGTTCTCAAGACACCCACTCAGATTCACAAGACCCTGCCCGGGCCCAGGCTGCACCCCTACGTGACCAACCTCCACCCCTGTACTCAAGACCTGCCCCCTGCTCAGGTCTCCCTGTTCTTTGCAAGACTGTTCAAAGTTTACTCTATCCTCACATCCCTATTGATAGTATTTACAGCTTCCCAGTGGTTCTAAATTCCAGAGATTGCAGAAATCAGGCTCCAGAGATTGCTTTGCCTCAGAAAAATCTAGGACCCTAAGTCAAACTTCCCAGGAGGGGGAAGTGCTCCCCAGTAGCAGGGACCATGGGTGGGTCATCACCTAGCCCCAGCCCTGGTTTTCCAGCAGATGTGGAGGCAGAGGAGGACCCCTCACCCTGTGCATCCTCGGGCTCTGGGCGAGCCTGCACGCTGAATCAAACTGAATGCCGTGGGCGCTGGCCAGGGCCCAACGGTGGCATCACCAATTTTGATAACTTCTTCTTCGCCATGCTGACTGTCTTCCAGTGTATCACCATGGAAGGGTGGACTGACGTCCTGTACTGGGTGAGGTGGACAGTGGGCAGGCAGCTCGGCAGCGGCCTGTGCTCCTTCTCCCTAGCTCCAGTGGGCACGTCAGCATGACTTCAGGAAGTGTGCCCTCTCTCTTCCCAGATGCAGGATGCAATGGGGTACGAGCTGCCCTGGGTGTACTTCGTGAGCCTGGTCATCTTTGGGTCCTTCTTTGTCCTCAACCTTGTGCTTGGTGTCCTGAGTGGGTAAGAGACCTAGACATTCTCCCCCACTTCTGCAGTTCCAGGCCCCTTTTTGTACTGGCAGACTCCTAGTCATCCATCAAACCCTATCTGTAATATTCCTTCCAACTATTTTATCTAAGCATCTGTGTGAGGCATTGTTTTAGGATGGAGCAAGGCATGAAAACCCCTGCTTGCCTGCATATTTCATTCAATGGGGGAAGACAGGTAACAGCAACATGCATAGCAAGCTTGTGCATACACAGACCATGTGCTGTGCAAAGAAAGGCTATTGATAGAAATAGCTGGATCTCACAATTGGAAGTAGGACCATCATGCCATTTGTGGTAGTGCACACTTGTAATCCCAACTACTCAGAAAACTGAGGCAGAAAGATCAAAAGTTCACGGCTGGCCTGAGCAACCTCGCAAGATCTGGTCTCAAAATAAAATTAAAATGTCTAAGGATGTAGCTCAGGGGTAAAGGGCCCCTGGGTTCAGTTGCTAGTACTGCAGGAAGGAGGAAGAGAGGAGAAGAAATAGTGACATCAAGACAGGCATCATTGAGAAGGTGTTTTTTGAATAAAATGTAACAGAAGGGGCCTGTGTGGCTATGTGAGGAAGTGTTCTAAGCAACAGGAACAGCCAGTGCAAAAGCTCAGAGGCTGGATGTGCTTGGCAAGTTCAAAGAGCAGCTAGGAGGCTAGTGTGACTGGAATGAACCCTCTGCCTTTCTCCCTCAGAGAGTTCTCCAAGGAGAGAGAGAAGGCAAAAGCAAGAGGTGATTTCCAGAAGCTTCGGGAGAAGCAGCAGATGGAGGAGGACCTTCGGGGCTACCTGGACTGGATCACACAAGCTGAGGAGCTGGACCTCAACGACCCCTCAGCAGATGGCAACTTGGGTTCTATGGCTGAAGAGGGCCGAGCTGGTCATCGTAGGCAACTCTAGTCTAGCCCATTGCCTGATCCATTCATGCCTCAGATGCAGCCCACCCTCCTAAGACCCAACCCCAAGCTTTGGTCATTCCAGGGCCAGCTCCTAGCTCTGGCTCAGGACACAGAATCTAGACCCAGCCTCAGATACAGACTCCACCTAACACCCCTTTCCCTAGATGTAGCCCTAACTCTGCCCCCAGGCCATCCTCCCCAACTGTACTCTCTGTCCCCACAGGACCACAGCTGGCTGACCTGACCAATAGGAGGCGTGGACACCTGCGCTGGTTCAGTCACTCAACTCGCTCCACACACTCCACCAGCAGCCATGGTGGGGGCCCAGTCAGAGCAGGGGTGGGGTGGGCAGGCAAAGGAGAAAACCAAAGGTAGGACCTAGGGACTCAGGTCCTGACCTCTGCCCCTTTTGACCCACAGCCAGCCTTCCAGCCAGTGACACTGGCTCCATGACAGAGACCCCAGGCGAAGAGGACGAAGAGGAGGGGGTTCTGGCCAGCTGTACACGCTGCCTGTGAGGATCCCCAGCCTTTGACCACAATTGGCCCAAATGCAGTCAGACCCTGACCTTGGTCCTTACTTTGGCCCCTGACTTAACCTCAGGCCCCAGCCACTGATGCCCTCTTGGGCTCTTATGATACCTCTCTATTCACCCCTTCTTTTCCAGGAACAAGATCATGAAAACTCGAGTCTGGTGAGTAGGGGAAACTGTGCAACTTCTTGGTCCTGCAGCTTTGAGATGCCCTCACCTCCATGCCCTCCGTGACCTCTGCCCCCAACCTCGGCCGCCCATGGCTTAGGTCAGCTACCTCGGCAGTGGACTCTCTTTCCTCCCAGCCGCCGCCTCCGCAGGGCCAACAGGGGTCTTCGGGCGTGCTGTCGGCGGGCTGTGAAGTCCAACGCCTGCTACTGGGCTGTGCTGCTGCTCGTCTTCCTCAACACGCTGACCATTGCTTCAGAGCATCATGGGCAGCCGGTGTGGCTCACCCAAACTCAGGGTGAGCCCTCCACCCTCTCCCATAAGCCCTACTCCCTCCATTCCAGGATTTCAGAGCCAGGGTCTCCAGGGAGCCTCAGACCCCAGACATTGCTCCCTCCACAATGAGAAATAGAGAAACCTCAGCCTGTCCCAGGCTACATTGTAGTTTCCACCTATACGGCATCAAGCCCTGTTCTTGGTGCTTCTCTTATAAAAACTCAACCGCTCTTCACTACAACATTAAGTGAATTAAGTGCTAAGGCTCAGAGTACTGGTCACCAAGGGACCGAAGTTTTAAGCAACCAAACCCAGGACTCAGCTCCTGAATGACCAAGCCAGAAAATGGAAACCAGGTAACCTGGCCCCAGAATCCAGACCTATAACTCCACACTGTCAGAGCAAGTTAACCCTCTTGTGCCTCAGTTTCCCCATGCACAAAATGAACACGGTGATAGTGTCCACACCCAGGGGTGATTGGGAGGATTAAAGAGTTACAGTAGAAAGTGCTTAGAGCACTGTATAGCCCACATAATGCAAATTCTTTACAAGAGTCAGCTGTTGTTATTCCTCTCCAACTCTGCTCGAGTTCCAGGCTCCTCAAAACCTTACCTACTCTGACCTACAAACTCACCTAGATCCCTAACCTCAACCCTATGCCCAGCCCACATCGGACCTAATTGTCACCGTGTAACCTAGCCAGCCCAATCATCCTGGCCCCTCTCCCCACAGAGTACGCCAACAAAGTGCTGCTCTGTCTCTTCACGGTAGAGATGCTCCTCAAGCTGTATGGTCTGGGTCCTTCTGTCTACGTCTCCTCCTTCTTCAACCGCTTTGATTGTTTCGTGGTCTGTGGGGGTATCCTGGAGACCACTTTGGTGGAGGTGGGCACTATGCAGCCCCTCGGCATCTCAGTGCTGCGGTGTGTGCGTCTTCTCAGGATCTTTAAGGTCACCAGGTGTGTATGGGGAAGAGACTGAAGCCCCAGACACTACCCCAATGGCCCAGCCCCAGCCCCGGTGACAATTTCATCTGCATCACCATTCATTTAGCAAACATCTATTGAGCACCTACCACATGCTGTGCTCTCTCCTGGGCCCTAGGGAAACATCAGGAATCAAAGCAGGCAAATCCCAGCACTCAGGAGGCTGAGGCAGGAAGATTGCTCTGAGTTTGAAGCCAGCCTGTACTGCATGGTGAAACCCTGTCTCAAAAAGACAGACAGACAGACCAAGGAAGGGAGAGAGAGAGAGAGAGAGAGAGAGAGAGAGAGAGAGAGAGAGAGAGAGAGAGAGAGAATATGTTCCATCCTTCAGGGAGACTGGAGTCTACCAGAGAGAACACCTATTCCATTTGCTTCCTAGCCTCACCCTCAAGTCCTGCTTTCTCTAACATTACCCCCAAGCCCATCCCCAAGCTCATCTCCAAGTCACCAAAACACCACCTCTAACCCCAGCCTAGTCATGCATCATCCTCATCCACAGCCCACTTGCATCCAGCCTCAAGGCCAGCCCCCTCTCACCTCCTCCCTAACCCCCAGGCTGATCCCCATCACTCACCAGCAACTACAGTGCCATTTTCTATCCTCAGACAAAGCCCCAACATTTCTCAGCCCCATCCAGCTGCAACTTCATTCCCTGACCCAGCCCTAATCTCATTCCTATAACTTCTCCTCTTCAAACCCTCAATCACAACTTTCTCTCCAAACCCAGGTTTTGTTTTCTGTATTTTAGTGAAGGGTCTAGAGGGTGTTCAGGGTCTTACAACTAGATCAGACTCATAGTGATTCTCCTGTTTACAGCCTCCCAAATGCTGGGATTACAGGCATGCTCCACCACACCCAGTCTCAATCACAGTCTCAGTGTACCCCAGGGGCAGGGCTGGGGCTGGGGCTGGCACAACAAGCCCAGGGATCAAACCCTGGCCCCTGCGCCTGCTTGCAGGCACTTTAATCCACTGAGCTATTTAGCCAGACCTTCAGATTTTTTTAATGTATTTGGTATAGGGTCTCATTACTCAGCTCAGACTCAGTGATCCTCCTGTTTCAGCCCCCCAGCACTAGGATTACAGGCGTGCATCACTATGCCTGCCCAGTCTTGGTGGCCAGGGATCGAACCCTGCACTTGCTTAAGCAGGCAGCTTAGTCCATTGAGCTATCTTGCCAGTCCTCCAATCCCAGATCTTTACAATATCATCCCCTGCATATCCCAGTCCCAACTGGAAACCCAATTCTAGCTTCGCCAACTCCCATCTAAAACTCCATTTTTAAGTGAGGCATGGTCAAGCACCCTGTAATCCCAGCACTAGGGAAGCTGAAGCCGAAGGATCACTACAAGTCTGAGAGACTAAATAGTGAGTTCAAGGCCAGCCTGGATTATATAGGGAGACCTTGTCTCAACAAAACAAAAACATAAAAATCCTGTATCCTAGCAGAGCATGGTTACACACACCTGTAATCCCAGCATTTGAGAGGCTGAGGCAGGAAGATCAAAAATTCAAGTCCAGGCTAAGGAGATAGCTCAGAGGTCTAAGTGCCTGCCTGGCAATCTCAAGGACCCAGGTTAGATCCCTGGTATCACATGCTATGTGTGCCATGCCGGCCACTGAAACCAGGCATGATGCTGCATGCCTGTAATCCCAGCACTGGAGAGGCTGAGACAAGAGGATCACTACAAGTCCAAGCTGCATAGCAAGACCCTGTGCCAATTAAGTAAATAAATAGATTTTAAAAATAAAAAAGAGGGCTGGGGAGATAGCTCATCAGTTTAAGTGTCTGCCTGGTAAGCACAAGGTCCTGAGTTCAATCCCCAGTACCAAAAAATAGTAATAATAATAATAATAATAATAATAATAATAATATAATAATAATAAAAGAAAATTCAAGTCCAGCCTGAATGATTTAGTAACTAAGGAGAGTGATCCTATCTCAAAAGATAAAAAACAAAAAAGGTCTAGATCTATATAGCTCAGTGCAAAGGCTCTGGATTCAGCCTCCAGTAACTTCCATCCTAACCTCATCTCCACTGTGCCCCAGTGCCAGCCCAAACCCCAAACTCATCTGTCCCTTCCTGTCTCACTCACACCACACCCCAAGTCCCAAATCACCTCTAGCCTTCACATCAAGCCTATTCGAACCCACTATGCCTCAGCAGCCTGGAGCCCTGCCCTGGCCGCTGCGTCTCCAGTGCTGTGCAAGCAAGCCTGACACCTCCATCTCCTCCCAGGCACTGGGCCTCTCTAAGCAACTTGGTGGCATCGCTGCTCAATTCCATGAAATCCATTGCATCCTTGCTGCTGCTACTCTTCCTCTTTATCATCATCTTCTCACTGCTTGGCATGCAGCTGTTTGGGGGCAAGTTCAACTTTGACCAGACTCACACCAAGCGAAGCACCTTCGACACCTTTCCCCAGGCCCTCCTTACTGTCTTCCAGGTAGGGCCTAAAGACCTTTAAATGGGTGGACTAGGGGGACCCTAGTGTTAGAGGGGCTCCCAGGAGCTTCATGGTGACCTCCTACCCCCAGATCCTGACGGGAGAGGACTGGAACGTGGTCATGTATGATGGCATCATGGCCTATGGTGGCCCCTTCTTCCCAGGGATGCTTGTGTGTGTCTATTTCATCATCCTCTTCATCTGTGGCAACTGTATCCTTGAAAATTGGGAGGCTGGATGGTGGAGAGTAGGGTGGCCAGGACCCATCTTTGCAGCCTCAGCTCTCCCCAGACATCCTGTTGAATGTGTTTCTTGCCATTGCTGTGGATAACCTGGCCAGTGGGGATGCAGGAACTGCCAAAGACAAGGGCAGGTGAGGTGTGGTTCAGACCCCAAGACAGTCCCTCACTGATATTCCTGGTTGGAATCCCCGTACACATCCTATACAACAGAGATGCCTTTAGTCACCCTGCTAATTCCCACCTCCAGACGCAAGCTGCTGGACCTCACTCATTCCACATGTGTTTGTTGAGCACCTACTTTGTGCCAGATTGTGTTGTAAATGCCATAGAAAAAGCAGAGATCAAGGAAGGAAGGATCCTTGATTTTTATGGAGCTGATGTTCTAGTTGAGGAAGATATGCAAAATACAAAGAAATGAAAATGTAATAAAATAAATACATGTTAATAGTAACTGATAAAGAAAAAGCTGAATGAAAGGAAAGAGAAATGATTGCTATTTTGGTTAGGAAGGATTTTATGAGGAGGAGAATTTGAAAAGAGATCTGAATAAAGTGAGGGAGTGATCCATACGTATATCTGGAGAACAGCAAATGCAAAGGTCCTGAGGCAGTAATGTTATGACATTTAGAACAAAATACCAGAGCTGGGGCCACGGCTCAATGGTAGAACACTTGCCTACTATGTATAAGGCCCTGGGTTCCATCCCCAGCCCTGCAAGTAAATGAATACACAAAAAACACCAGTGAGGCAAGAATGCAGTTAGCAAGGAAAATGATAGAAGGTGAGGTCAGATGGTGTGGGGCAGAGGGGTCAGGCTGAGGGCATTCGGGGCCAGGGTGAGACTTCAGCTTTTGCTCTTGGTGGCAGAGCACTGGGAAGGTTGTGCACGGGCTGGGTATGCCAGCCAGGATCTCACAGGCTCCCTCTGGCTGCTGTGAGAATAGACTGTGGGGGTGGGGATCGAGGGAGGACCTAGGGGGCCCAAGCAAGGTCTGTTCTGAGCCCAGTGTGGCCCATGTCTGTCATCCCAGGACTCAGGAGGCTGAGGCAGGAGGGTGGTGAGTTTGTTCACATCCTGGTTTACACAGCAAGATGAGAAGGAAGGAGGGAAGAAAGCGGTGAGGCGAAGAGGGAAGGAGGGAAGGAGGAAAGAGGGCAGGGCTGTCAGGACTGCTAGAACCCTTGCAGCCTTGCCCATCTGCTGCCACAGGTAACAATTAGCCCCCCTTTCCTCATGCAGGGAGAAGGGCAGTGAGGGAAATGCCCCGCAGGAGAATGGAGTGCTGGTGAGTTAGAAGTCTGAGTGCCATCTACACCTCACCCCTGCACCTGTACCTGTCTGTGGATATGGCTTCCACCCTCCTCCCCTGCCTCTGTGCCCTCCCCACCCCGTGTCTATTCCCTGCATTTCCTCTGCCATCAGTGACTGCCCTCTTTCTGTCCCCAGGTGCCCAGCAGGGAGAATGAGGAAGAGGAGGGTGTAAAAAGTGAAGGAGCGGGCAAGTTGGCAGGGCCAGGTGGAGGATGAGGAGGGGGCTTTGGGGACAGAGCCCAGGCAGAAGGCTCCTGACCTCCAATGCCTTCCTCGCTAAGGAGCAGCCTTTTTCAAGGTCTTCTTGAAAAGAATGAGCTTGGTGTGTGGCCAGCAACATGTGAGACCACTGAGGTTAAAGAAGCAGCAGATATTTTGTTTGATTAGAGAACTTATCAATCTTTACCCATATTATAAAACGGTGTGTACAGACAACATTCACCCAACACACATGCATCCAGCTCCTGCTGGGTCCCCGCCACTGTTCTAAGGCCTAGGCACATAGCGGTGAACAACACAGACCCAGAGCCCTTCCCTGAGGAGCTGACCTGGGAGGGAATGATTAGCCATGTCCCAAGAGCTGTTCCTGCTGCTTTTCACCCATTTTCTTAGTGAATTTTCCCTTTTGCTCTTTTACCAGTGCCAGAAATGGAGGAAGAAGAAGAGGAAGAAGAAGAGGAGGAAGGGGGTGTGGGGCATGCAGAACTCCTGCAGGAAGTTGTACCCAAAGAGAAGGTGGTTCCCATCCCTGAGGGCAGTGCCTTCTTCTGCCTCAGCCAAACCAACCCGTGAGCACCAGGCTGGTCAGGAGGGGCAGGGGCAGAAGGTGGCTGGGAGCTGCCAAGCAGGGGCTGGGCAAGCTGTATCCTTCAGGTCCTTCCTGGTGAGCTGTGGTCCTGGGTTCTGAGCACAGCCCTCTCCCCACTCCCTAGGTTGAGGAAGGCCTGCCACACGCTCATCCACCACCATATCTTCACCAACCTCATCCTAGTGTTCATCATCCTCAGCAGCGTGTCACTGGCCGCTGAGGACCCTATCCGAGCCCACTCCTTCCGCAACCATGTGAGCCTAAGTCTGGGGGCTGGGGACACTCCCAGGGTGTCCTGCTTGGCAAAAGCCAGGTCCAGGGTGGAGAAAGGATAAAGAGCCCTAATAGGGCTAAGAAAGAGGATCAGAAGCAACAGTGACACACACTTGAGGAGGTGCCAAGCAGGGATTAGTACATGAATCGGAGGGCAAGAAGGTTGTGCTCAGAGACTAGGAAGGCCAGGGGCATCTGTGTAGCTGGATAGAGGTAGGGGAGCTCAGATTTGAACACTAGGGCTAGGGGTTTTGCCCTGTGGTGGAATGCTTGCCTATTGTGTGCAAGGTTCTTGGTCCTATCTGCAGCACAGAAAAGGAGGATGTGATGGTACACACCTGTAATCCCAACACTTGGAGGAATGTTGTGAGTTTGGGGCCACATGGGCTACACAGTGAGTTCAAGGGCTGCCTGTACTGCATAGCAAGGCCCTCTCTCAAAAAAGCTGGCATGGTAACACACTAATCCTAGCACTCTGAGAGCCTGAGGAAGGAGGACAGCAAATTCGAGCTCAGCCTGGTCAACTTAGCAAGACCCTATCTCAAAATTGAAAAAGAAAAATTAAAGATGGGGATGCTGAGGGTGTAGCTCAGGGGCAAAGCCCTGGGTTTAATCCCCAGTGTCATGAACATACACACGCCCCAAATTTAAGTTCTAAGGGTGGGTTATAACTCACTGGTACAGCACTTGTTTAGCATGTATGAGGCATTCAGTTAGATATCCAGCAGCACGAAAAAGGACCAAATTTGAACCCTAGTCTCTCTGATAACCTAACTTCTAGCTTGTACAGAAGTCCCTCATAATAATGAGGGAGAGAGAGGCCAAGTTACACAGAGAGGTACACACACCTACAGGCCCTTTCAGTCATGACTCAGTGGCTGACCCTCTTCCTCCCTCCTCCAGATTCTGGGGTACTTTGACTATGCCTTCACATCCATTTTTACTGTGGAGATTCTACTAAAGGTGACTAATGTGCTCCAAAACATACCCCCAGTGACCCCCATATACTCCCCACCTGCCCCCACAGTCTGTCTCCCTGCTCCCTGCTCCTCCTCCTCCCCCAACTTTCCCCAGGTCTGAAGTCTAGCCCAATGCCCTCTGGTCCCCAGATGACAGTGTTTGGGGCCTTCCTGCACCGAGGTTCCTTCTGCCGTAGCTGGTTTAATCTGTTGGATCTGCTGGTGGTCAGTGTGTCCCTGATCTCTTTTGGCATCCAGTGAGTGACCCCAAACCCTGTCCACCCCATTCCTCTGAGAATCAGGGCCAGACTAAGGTCTGAGGATTGCCCCTTCCCCAGCTCTAGCGCCATCTCAGTGGTGAAGATTCTGCGAGTACTCCGAGTGCTTCGGCCCCTCCGAGCCATCAACAGAGCCAAGGGACTGAAGGTGAGCCAGTCTCACCCAGACCCACAGGGCCCTGCCTTACCTGCCCCTGGGCCAGGATCACTGATCAAACTAACCATTTGCATCAGTGCATGACCATGCAGCCTGGACCTGACACATAGCCACAACTCTGAGCACTCACCATGTAGCTGGACCTATATTCTGTACAAATGACCAAACATTCCTTGCTGGTGGTCACATTTCTCTACTTTGGGTCCCTGACCTGTGGCCACATATCTTCCAAATGCTTATTCCTGGTCGGTGCCTACACAGCCCCAGCCCACATCACTGCCTTTTGGCCACATGTTCCTGACCACACATCCTCATCCCAAGTCCTTGAGCTACATCTACCAGCAGAGTCCCCCTGGCCACTGTGGCCTGTGTTGTGCATCAACCATATGCATGGATGTGTGCAGCATGTCGTACAGTGCGTGTTTGTGGCCATCCGGACCATCGGAAACATCATGATCGTCACTACACTCCTGCAGTTCATGTTCGCTTGCATTGGCGTACAGCTCTTCAAGGTAGGAAAATGCTGCAGGGAGGCCTGGCTTGAAGTCAAGATGACAGGTTAAGTGCAAATCCTTCTTGACACATGTACTTCCTACAGGGGAAATTCTACAGCTGTACTGACGAGGCCAAACACACACCCAAAGAATGCAAGTGAGTATCTGAGGCCTTGCCCTCCATGGAACCCAGGACCCCTAGACCTCACCAAGGCCGCTCAGGCCCCTAGAGCCTCCTCTCAAGAGGTGCAGGGGCCCCTAGGTTTCCTCAAGGCCCCCATGAGCTCAAGATGCACCCTCCAGAGCTTTCCCAAAAACTACAGAGTTCCTCAAATCTCACCCAGCCCTCAGATGCCCCCAGTGACCACCGCCAAGTGCCTCTCTGCATTCCCAGAGTTACCTACATTCCCCTGCAGACACAACATTCTTGTCCCTGCTCCAAATGTCCAACTCCCTCCTGCAGAGGGTAGTGGTTACACCGTGAGCTGTCAAGTCACAGGTTCCTGGTGCAAACCCACTTCATAAGGTTTGAGAATGTTTCTTCACTGTGATGAGTCCCACTTAGGGCAGCTAAAAATTGGGAACCAAAGAGCATCTGTCTCCCAAATTCATTGGGAAGCATCATGAGTGGCTGCAAGGTTTGTGGATTACACTGTAATCCACCTGAACACCTAGCACAGTGTGTGGCATATAGTTAGTACTGACAAATGTTAGCTATCGCCAAGTATTGCTTCTTCATTATCACCAGTATCATCACGAGTATGATGATACGGCACCAACTATGTGCCAGACATTAATCTTATTTCTCATTTATTGACTTAATTACCCCTTGTCACTAGTCGAGCAATGGGTTCTGCTATTTTGTTTAGTTCATAAGTGGAAAAAAATGGAAGCAGAGAGGTTAAAGGTCCACAGTCATCCAGGCAGGATATGGAGGGGCAGGATTTGAACCCAGGTTGTCTAGCTCCACCAACAGGCCATGCTACCTCTATGTGAAAGACCCCAGGGCCTTTGTCACAGCTTCCAAACCCTTTCACCCACCTAGTTTGTCTACAATTTCCACAGGGGCTCCTTCCTGATCTATCCAGATGGAGACGTGTCACGCCCCCTGGTCCGGGAACGGCTCTGGGTCAACAGCGATTTCAACTTTGACAATGTTCTCTCAGCCATGATGGCTCTGTTCACTGTTTCCACCTTTGAAGGCTGGCCTGCGTGAGGGGCAGGGCCCTAGGGGTAGCATAGAACTGGGCATGGACTCAGGGATTGGTGGGATCTCCTGAGAGAGGTGGGAATGTACCTTGGGGATGGAACGCAGGTTTCTCAAGACTGAGTAGGATGTTCTGGAGACAAGTGAGTGTGAGGACTGAGTAGGGGGTTCTCAGAGCTGGAGATCTGGATAAGAGAGCTCCAGGAATTAGGTAAAAGTTTCTGAGGCCAAGGATTGGTTTGGTTCTGGGTAAAGGTCTGGGGGTACTGAAAGAGGGGTTACTGAAGCGATAGAGAAAGTGATTTCCAGAGAGTTTTTAGAGAGTTGTACACAACTTTGAGGTGCAAGTCGTGGATTTCTAGGGAAAATGGCACAGGAGATTGAAGATGATGCACCAGGGGGTGCAGAGGTCTTTATGGGGTTGTAGGGGAGTTCCAGAGAGCTGCATGGGTAATGGATTTGGAGGTTTGTGGGAGGTTGAGGGTTTGTGAGAACTTCAAGGGCTTGATGATGATTCTTTGGAGGAATGCATGGGATGTCTGGACCCTGAGGATCTGGGACAAGGGATTTAGTGCCTTTTCAGGGATCTTCTGGAGCATAATAGAGATCCTAAGGATCAAGGTTGGGGACTTAGAGGTCCGTGGGGTGCCATACAGAAAATTCTCTGTGATAAGTGGTCTGGGAGTTGGTCTGCTGGGCTGGGAATCCCCTCCACCTCTCCCCCACCCTCATTGGCTCCCACAGGCTGCTGTACAAAGCCATTGATGCACATGCAGAAGATGAAGGCCCCATCTATAATTACCATGTGGAGATCTCCGTGTTCTTTATCGTCTACATCATCATCATTGCATTCTTCATGATGAACATCTTCGTGGGCTTTGTCATCATAACTTTCCGTGCCCAGGGTGAACAGGAGTACCAAAACTGTGAGCTGGACAAAAACCAGGTGATCTCTGAGCCCTGACCTCCTCCTCACAGCCACCAATCCTCCCACCCCACTTTGTGGTCCCCTACTCACTCATGTCCTGCACCGGTATGCAGCGCCAGTGTGTGGAGTATGCCCTCAAGGCCCAGCCGCTCCGACGTTACATCCCCAAGAACCCACATCAGTATCGCGTGTGGGCCACCGTGAACTCTGCTGCCTTCGAGTACCTCATGTTCCTGCTCATCCTGCTCAACACGGTTGCCTTAGCCATGCAGGTCTGAGCTCCCCATCATGATCCCTGCCAGAAGTCTGCCCCTGGTCTTTCCCCCACAATCTCTTGGGAACCATTATAAATTCCTTAGCTGAAAGTAACAAAATCTCTTGGCAGACTTAAGCTATAAAGATACTTGCCAAATTTCTTCAAGCTTAAGGCCAGAATTGTAAATTATATTCTGATTTCATAGATGTAAGAAGAGAAAACAGTGATCTGTGGCCATTGTAAATTGTCATCAATCATAGAATGCACCCCAATTTCAGAAATTCAAAATGTAAAAAGATGTACACCTTAGAGTTAATGAAATGTGGTAATTACCTCACACAATGAGAAGCATAGGCTAGGGATATAGCTCAGTGGCACAGTACCTGCCTGGCAAGCACAAGGTCCATAGTTCCATTCCCAGTACCAAAAGAAAAGAAAAAGAAAGAAAGAAAGAAAGAAAGAAAGAAAGAAAGAAAGAAAGAAAGAAAGAAAGAAAGAAAATAAATAAATAAATAGAGGTAGGTAGGTCATTGCTGATCACTGAACCAGACCCTGTCTTTTCTTTCTCTTTCACTATTCTTGGCAGGTTGACTTTCATTCTCATGGCTGTTGCTTCATGGTCAAAAGACAGTCCCCATAGCTCCAGATATCAAAACCACACTAAAGAAAGGAAAAAAGAGTTGCACCAAGGGGTTCTCTTCCTTTGAGCATTTTAATGGAAAGGAAAATACTTTTCACAAATGCTTTCAACCAACAACAGACTCACATTTATGTCTCTTTAAGAGAATTGGCTTGAGAGACAGAGAGAAAGAGAGAGAGAGAGAGACAGAGAGAGAGAGAGAGAGAGAGAGAGAATTGGCTTTGCCTGTCTGCAAGAAAGCCAGAAAGCCAGGAACCAAGAACTAGGCTTTCCGGTATCCATAACGGAAGACAACAATGAAAGGGTTTTGGCCAAATCATCATGCTCCATGCACCCAGACTCACCTCAGTCCAGGCCAGGCAGTATTTGGTTGTGGCAGGAATTTTCTGCTTCGGGCTCTGTCCAAACCTGATTTTCTCCCCCAGCACTATGAGCAAACTGCTCCTTTCAACTATACCATGGACATCCTCAACATGGTCTTCACTGGCCTCTTCACTATTGAGATGGTGCTCAAAATCATCGCCTTCAAACCCAAGGTGCCCACCAGCCCTGAACTCCCCAACTCTGGACCCACTCCCAACTAACTCAGATTCCTTGGGAGGGAGCACATTCCAGAGCTCTGAAAAAGGGTGGCAACCAGGAAGTCATGACACTGGGGAATGAAAAGGAGCCAGGCACAGGTCTTCAAGTGGCCTGGCCCAGCCCTGCCCCTGTGATGCCCCTTCCCACTACTGGCCCCTGTGCTGCCCTGCTAGCTTAGAGGAGACAGCATGCTTTTTTCTTTCTGCCCACAGCATTACTTTGCTGATGCCTGGAACACATTTGATGCTCTTATTGTGGTGGGCAGCATAGTGGACATTGCCGTCACTGAAGTCAATGTGAGGCCCAGCCCTCCACTAACCCACTCACCCCAACAGCCCTTCCCCCACCTCCATCCCAGGGTACCTTTTACATGTGGGACAGGTGCTCCCCCTCACAGCCTTTCCACTCTTGGGGACTCAATGCTCCTCCTTGTAGCTCTCTCCACTCTCCGTCCCTGTTGGGCTCAGTCAAAGGCCCTTCTGCCAGCTCCCTATTCCATGGTGTGCTGGCACCATAGTCTCCTAAAATGCCTCTCCTGTTCTGTCTGCTGTTGCTTTCATTGCCACTTCCTGACTGGCCGCACCACCTCTACTGATTCCTGCCCTGGCTTCATCATCTCTTCTGACTGCTCCATTGGCTTCATCTCCACCACTAACTCCATCATCCCTGCTTTTCATGGCTGTCATCACCACTGACCACATGCTTGGTGCCATCATCGCCTTCACTGGGTACTACGTGGCCCTGTCACCTGACTGACAATGCTGCTGGCTCGGATCTCCACCCATGGCTTCCTCATTGGGCCGCCTTCATCTGTGGGTTCTCATTTCCACAACATTCTGGCCCCACCACTTTCACCAATGGTGCCCATCTCTTTCCTCCATCATCTCCTTTACCCTCTCCTCTCCCTCACCCTTACTACCAACTTTTTCCACAACCATCTCAATGCACTACCACATACCTTTGCTCCTCACCTCCTACATCTGCTCCATGATACTGGCCCTTGTTCATCTATGATAACCTCTCCCTCTGTTGCCTCTATTTTGGCTATATCTCCCCCAGAATGGTGGCCACCTTGGCGAGGTAGCTCCCAAAGGGCACTCTCTTTTTCCTCCTTCCCTCTCTCCCTCCCTAAAGGTTCTTATCAATGCTCTCTGAGCCAGTGTAGTGGCACATACCTGTAATCCCAGCACTCTGGGAGGCTGAGGCAGGAGGACTGAAAGCTTGAGCCTGGCCTAGGCAACTCAGCAATTCAGTGAGACCCTGTCTCAAAATCAAAAAGAAAATATGGGGCCAGTGAGATAGCTCAGCAGTGTAAAGCACCTGCTTAGGCAAGTGCACAGAACTGGGGTTCAATCCCTGGCACCACATGCCGCACCAGCCCTGCCCCCAAGGTGGGCTAAACCAGTCATAAATAAATAAATAAATAAATAAATGAAAGAAAGAAAAGAAAAGGGTTGGGGTGTAGCCCATTTCAAAGGCCCTAAAGAAATGCTCCCTAGGGCTGGTGAGATGACTCAGTGGTCTAAAGCACCTACTTAGAACAAGCTTAGCAAAGCACAGGGACCGGTTCGATCCCCCAGAACCACATGCCAGCCAGCCCCGCCCCCTGGTGGGCTGAGCTGGCCACACAGACACACACATAAATAAATTTAAAAAATTTTAAAAAAGAAAAAAATGCTCCCTGACCACTCTGAGGCTTGAGTTCTGAGCGATTTGGGGGGCTGAGAGGACAAAGGCATGAGACAGGGAGGTGGCTGCCAAGAATGTGAACTGAGCTGTCCCCACTGCCTCCCCAACCCCAGAGCTCGGAAGACAGCTCCCGCATATCTATCACTTTCTTCCGCCTCTTCCGAGTCATGCGGCTGGTGAAACTTCTCAGTAAGGGTGAAGGGATCCGTACATTGCTCTGGACATTCATCAAATCCTTCCAGGTAATCCCCCGCTCCATCCCTTCATCCACACCTCAACCCCCACCTCACACCTCTCATCCTGCCCTGTTCCTAGGGGCAAACCATGCCCATTTCCAGCTTCCTGGCTTTTCCTGGGTTCTCAGTTCCCAACAATGTCTCTGACCTCCCTGAACATACCCTACTGTGTTCACATTAGGGGAGACACTCATGGTCCTGGCGCTCTAAGGAAAGACTGTGTTTCCCAGCAGGCCCAAGCCAGAGAGAGCAGTACACTCTAGGTTACAGCTAGTTCTCTGCCTGGGCCTGAGTGGCTGTCTCCCCGTTCATGCAGGCCTTGCCCTATGTGGCTCTTCTTATTGCAATGATTTTCTTCATCTATGCAGTCATTGGCATGCAGGTCAGTGCGAACAGTCCCTTGGGTGCCCACCTGCTGGAGATGGGAGTGATCATTGGGTAAAACGGCTCCTACTTGGGAGTGGTAGGTAGAAAGACAGACCAACTGGTTGACCCGGGGTCGAGCTACACACCTGTGAAGTGGAGTTAGCAGTGCCTCAGGGTTGTGAGGATTCACCAAATCTTAGGAGGCAAGAAGTGAGTTGGAATATGTCGGGGCACATGTCAACACATTCACCCCCTACATGCCCACAGATGTTTGGCAAGGTGGCTCTTCAGGATGGCACACAGATCAACCGAAACAACAACTTCCAGACCTTTCCACAGGCCGTACTGCTTCTGTTCAGGTGACATCTTCCCACTTCCCCACCATCTCAGCCCCCAGCATGTCCACACAACCTCTCTAGACCCCAAACTTCGTGGGCTATGGAGATAGCAAGGCACTAAATAGCTGAGACCTTCTCTGGCTATGATCTGAGTGGTGTTTTCTGGCTGTAAGCTGCACCTCCTCGTTAGTCTGCAGTGCCCTCACCTGTAAGATGCAGGTCATCCACATGGCCACACTAGCTGTTAAAATTCTAAAGTGCTATTTGTACCAGGTGCAGCCCTGAAGAGAAGCAGGACATCGCCTCACTTCCCCAGACCCCACAACACCACTTGCCATGACTTCATAGCCTTTCCTCCAGGATGTCACCTCTGTGTGATCCCCCCTACCAGGTGCGCCACTGGTGAGGCATGGCAGGAAATAATGCTTGCCAGCCTTCCTGGAAATCGCTGTGACCCAGAGTCTGACTTCGGCCCTGGAGAGGAGTTTACCTGCGGGAGTAATTTTGCTATTGCCTATTTTATCAGCTTCTTCATGCTCTGTGCCTTCCTGGTGAGAACCGCTTCCCCACCACTGCCACAGTTCTGGCCATGAGTGGTTCAGGGGTGTCCAAATGATGCAGGCAGCCCAGCTCTTGAAAACTGGCCTGGGGCCGGGGAATATAGCTCAGTAGAATAAGCGCTTGCCTAGCAAGCGCAAGAGCCTGAGTTCAATCCCTGGTTCCGCAAAAAAAGAAAAAAGAAAAGAAAAGAAAACTGGCCTGCTAATAAGGTCATCCCTGGGGTTCATGAGCCAGTGACCATAGATGATCACGGCATGGCCAGGGAGATAGTTCAGCAGCATAAGCTCCTGCCTGGCAAGCGCAAGGACCCGAGTTCAATCCCCAGTACTGCATGTTTTGCCAGCCCCAGAACCCTAGGCACACAGTGATGACACATGCCTGTAATCCCTGCAATGGGGAGGCTGAGACAGAAGGATCACTATGAGTAGTGAGACCCTATATCAAAAAAAAAATCATTGCAGCCTCCTACAAATACCTACGGGCCTACTCTCTTACCTACCCCTCCCCTGTTTATCGGCCCACAGATCATAAATCTTTTTGTGGCTGTGATCATGGACAATTTTGATTATCTAACCAGAGATTGGTCCATCCTGGGCCCACATCACCTTGATGAATTCAAGAGGATCTGGTCTGAATATGACCCTGGAGCCAAGTATGTCTTCTAAACCCTTATCTGGAAGCCTAGTGGACAACATACTGCTCTCCACAGGCCCCTAACCCCAGAACCTGATACCTGTGCATTCTATTACTTAGTCAATAGGTACACCAAGTTTCCCACTGCCCCATTCTCTGCCCTTTCCCACTGTCCTCCAGTTCTTCAGAAAAAGGCCTTAGGGTGTGGGTGGGAAGAGGCAGGGATGAGCTGGTGGACCCTTAAGAAACAGGTAGAGTGGTATTGCCAATCTATTGGTACCTCCCCAACTCCCCCAGGGGCCGTATCAAGCACCTGGATGTGGTTGCCCTGCTGAGACGCATCCAGCCACCCCTAGGCTTTGGGAAGCTGTGCCCACACCGAGTGGCCTGCAAGGTCTGGTGCACCTATCCACTCCCCTATCCCCTGGGAGGCTGTCCACAATGTGGGGTGGCCACACTTAGGACTTGGAGTGGGTGGGGATGAGAGGTCACATCCTGTAAGGTTTCTCTCCTGGCTACTCATGCCTACAGACCTGGCATTTTCCCAGAGTGGGTTTATATCTTGGATATTTGCAGAGACTTGTGGCAATGAACGTGCCCCTCAACTCAGATGGGACAGTGACATTCAATGCCACGCTCTTTGCCCTGGTTCGGACCTCCCTGAAGATCAAAACAGAAGGTATGGAGGGGAGGGCTAGAAATGAGAGAGTCTCTGGGGTGGTGCAGGCAGCAAACTCAAGTGACAGACCCCATTTCTGGGTGACTTTGGTTTCTCTAGGCATGTCCCCTCCTCCTGTCCAGCAGGGCAATGTGCAGCTATGGTAGAACCCTCTGTGGAGGGCCTTCCTACTTTCTCTGCCCACACTCTCCTCAATGCAGGAAACCTGGAGCAAGCCAACCAGGAGCTTCGGATGGTCATCAAAAAGATATGGAAGCGGATAAAGCAGAAGCTATTGGATGAGGTTATCCCTCCTCCTGATGGTGAGCTGCCCTCAAGTTCCTTAAGCCCAGATGATTACTTGAATGTCAGACGGTTGTTTTCTACCCCCAAACCAGCACTCACCTGAGGCAGGAGGAGCCATTGCTGATTGGCAAGAATTAGGGAGGTAGTAGGGGGGCTGCAGAGGACACCTGCAAACCAAACCTCCAGGCACTCACTTGGAATGTTATATTCACTGCAATGAGGGTCTGGGCCAGAAAGTTCTAGATAGTATACTTGGCATTTGTAATTGTCCCTTTCCACTTTTAAAATTAGAAGTAATTTGGAGAACTTACTTAGCCAATCCTTTTAGATTTATGTGTTTCTTCAGTTACATGTACTGTAGAATGTACTTGGCTTTGACTTACACTTTTGAGCAAGGAATATCCCCAGGTCACTATGTTTGACATGGTGAAATATAGCTGTGCTTTTTAAAATCTTTTCTCTTTATGAAGTGTCTGCCCTTTTTCCCTTGTCCCCAGAGGAGGAAGTCACCGTGGGCAAATTCTACGCCACATTCTTGATCCAAGATTACTTCCGCAAATTCCGGAGGAGAAAAGAAAAGGGGCTACTGGGAGCTGAGGCTCCTTCAAGCACATCTTCTGTCCTTCAGGTCTTTGGGGTGGTGTCTGGAATGGCTGAGGATGACCTTCCTCTTGACCTCCTGAAAGCCCTGTTACAGATTAGGAAACTGTGGTCCCATCCCCTCACATGCACTCTCCTGCCTGGGAAGCAGGCCCATGGAGGGGAAGTTCAGACCCTGTGCCGTCCACTTCCTAATTTTTCCACTCCTACAGGCTGGCCTGAGGAGCCTACAGGACTTGGGTCCTGAGATCCGGCAGGCCCTCATCTCTGACTCGGAGGAAGAAGAGGAGGAGGAGGAAGAGAGGCAAGAGAGAGTGGAGGAAGAAGCTGAGAAAGATCCAGAAACATATAAAGTGAGCACAATTGCTTTTCATTCCCCCCAGAAACACTTGATTGTAAAGTATTCCCTCAAGCCTGAGTGACTTTGACATTATCTCTGAAAAGAAGCCCCCAAGATGGGTCCCCACCACAATGGGAAAATAGTTATTCCAAACCTAACTTTGGCTCTTGGGGGTCAAGACCAAGATTCACCCCCTGAGGAGCTCATGGGTCAATAGACGACCAAGTGACTTAGCTGTAACATTAATGAATACTCAGGCCTGTGACTCTCTACGGGCTCCTGTGGGTTCCCAGCCCTCATCCCGCCGAAGCTCCAGGATTTCTATGTCTCTGCCTCTTGGGAACAGAGTCCCAGATTCACCCTCCCCTGGGCCCAGTGATGAAGATATGGTGGGTCCCTACTCCAGACAGCCCACTGTACCCCAGCCTGGAGCCCATAGCCACAGGTATGGCCAAACATCTGGGGAAAGGTCATGAGGGGAGGCAGGAGTGAGACACTATATCAGGGTATGTGGAAGAAGCACCTAGAAGCCTTCAAGTGGAAATTTGGGAAAGATGGAGGTGTTTCAAGGGTTCAGGTGGGAACAGAAGGTAACTACAGTGTCTTATGAGAAAGGCAATGCAAAGGTTTGACCCAAAAACCACATGCTGGTTGTGGTGGTTCACACCTATAATCCTAGAACTCTAGGAGGCCAAGGCAGGAGGATGGCAAGTTCAAGCCCCGCCTAGACATTTTAACACCTTAACAAGACTCTGACCCAGAATAAAAAATAAGGGCTTAGGATGTAGCTCAATGCAAAGGCCCTGGGTTCAACCCCTAGTACTAGAAGAAAAAAATCATAATGCCCAGTGTTACATAGAAGATGGGGCCTGAAATGACAGGAACAGGGGCCCAAAGCCACATATTGAAAGAGATCTGCCTAAAATGCCTCTTTCCCCAGGAGAAGTTCAGGAGTTTTCATGTTCACCATCCCAGAAGAAGGAAGTCCCCAGCCCAGGGGAACAAAAGGTCATGACCGACAAGACGAGGAAGGGGAAAGCCCTGAGCGGTACACTGGCTATGTCACATAGGATAAGCCCATGATCTGTGGGGCAGAGGGCAGGGCTGTGAGTACCCCAGCTTGGAGTCCAGACCTGGGTTCACTCCCAACCCTCCTTCCTCACAGGGCCTACTACGTGGATGAGCAGGTAGGAACTCCCACACACTCAGTCCTTTTGCCGCCGCACCGACCCCAGAGATATGTCAATGGGCACCACGCACCACGGCGACGCCTGCTGCCTCCCACACCTACAGGTGAGAGAGTAAAGATGGCCCCTGACTCTGCCAAGGGCCAGCTAGACAGAAAGCCAGGGAGGCACTGCCAGTGTTCTTTGCTCCCAGGTCAGAAGCCCTCCTTCACTATCCAGTGTCTGCAGCGCCAGGGAAGTTGTGAAGATTTACCCATCCCAGGCACCTATCACCGCGGACAAAACTCAGGGCCTAGCAGGACTCAGGTGAACCAGGGGAGGGCTGCTGGGACCTGCAAGGGTCTGGGAAGCCCAGGCTGAACTTCAAACACACTGCACATCAGGCATTTCTGAAGGATGAGACATACATGCAGGAATGCACATAATCTTCCCTCACTTAAGAGATGGACACTACTCCTCCCAGTTTACAGATGAGGAAACCTAGGCTCAGAGAAGCTTATTCACCCAAGATCACATAGCCAGTAAACAGGAGAGCTGACGCTTAAGCCCTTTTTTGCTCTAGCATAAACTCAAGTCCAGAGCTAGGGATATAGCCCAATGGTACAGCACTTGTCTAGCATGTACAAAGCCCTCAGTTCCATGCCCAGCATCAAAATACATAAATATAAACAAACTCAAGTCCAATATACATCCACTCAGTTTGTTTCCAGCTCTGAATTGGGGTGGAGGGACAGGATTCACAGGAGTGAGTCCTAGACCCTCGTACCCACCCTTCAACCTCTGTCCCTTGATGTTTATTCTGCTCCAGGGTTCCTGGGCAACCCCTCCTCAGAGAGGTCGGCTCCTATATGCACCACTGCTGTTGGTGGAGGAGGGTGCAGCAGGAGAGGGATACCTGGGCAAATCTAGCAGTGCACTGCGCACCTTCACCTGTCTGCATGTGCCGGGAACCCGCTCAGACCCCAACTACAGCAAGAGGGGCAGTGCTGACAGCTTGGTGGAGGCTGTGAGTCCAGAGGGGGTGTGGGCAAGAAGGCTGGTAAAAAAGAGGAAAAGGTGGGAGCCTGGGAGGATGTGGAAATGGTCCCCAGGCTTTGTGCTGTACAAGTAGACATCCCTCTGCTCACCATCTGGACCACCACCCCTGCACTTCCCTGAACAACCTCATGGGTGCATCATTCATCCACACTGACCCCTCTGTAAACACAGTGCCTTTGGCCACCACTGATCCTACCTGTGCTCCTAGGTGCTCATCTCCGAGGGCCTAGGCCTCTTCGCCCGAGACCCTCGCTTTGTGGCCCTGGCCAAGCAAGAGATTGCAGATGCATGCCGTCTGACACTGGATGAAATGGACAGTGCCGCCAGTGACCTTCTGGCTCAGGGAACCAGCTCACTCTACAGTGATGAGGAGTCCATCCTCTCCCGCTTTGATGATGAAGATCTGGGAGATGAGATGGCCTGTGTCCATGCTCTCTGAATTTCCACCCTTTCCTCCTGCTCAATAAATCTCATGCCTTCCCCTTCCAAAAGAAGACAGGCACAGACCACACACCGCTGTATTTTGGTGTCTTTGCACTGAGGGCCTGAGGCTACACAGTAGTCACCAGCCATCCATCTTCATATCCATCCCCAGTTCCAGCCCTGAGCCACTGCCCACACACTGGTATTTCCAGAAACCAGGACAGCTAGGCCTGATTATTCAGCGTCAGGGAAGGAGGGAGGAGGAGGAGGAAGACACAGCAGCCAAAAAAAGCTGGAGACAGAGTGTAGGTGGTGGGGGAGGAGGAGAGCGCTGGGCAGAGATGTAGAGAGAGGAAGTCAGGGTTCTTGAATGGGGACATGAAGCAAAGATTCCACAGGGGTCAGTCAGGTCCAGCTGAGGAGGATAGACAGATGGGTAGGAACAGATAAGGATCCCCATAGGACAATCCTGGCAGTTGAGAGGCCTGGATGTTGGAGTTGGCCTCATATAGGATGTTTTGTGGGCCAAGGGGGTCCTGTCATGGCATTTGGAATTTCAGGAAAGCTAAATTAGGATCACTATCTCCCTCCTCCCATCTTTTGCCCAGAAAAGAAAAAAAAAACCTAAGTCAAGTTTATTTTATTAGTAGAAGAGGTGGATGACAATAAGGCTCTCACCCTTGAGGAACCCACCCAGAGCTCCCCCTTACCTTCCTGCAGCCACCTAAGAGTCATGCATTCCCCTCCTACAAAGATCCCCCTCCAGCCCTTCCTCCTACTTCTTGATCCACCTTTGCTCATTGTCCCCACTTGGGGTCTCATTCCATCATAAATTCAGGGAACATTTACCAAGCATTTACTGTGTGCCCAGTCACCATGATGCATGTCCCTCTGCACAAACTGAGTGGGCTTAACCACATGACAGTATTTACCCATGCTGGGAGTCAGCTGCACTGGAAAGGAAAAGGAGGCTGCGCAGTGATCCAGGATGGGGCACCCCTAGGGTGGGTCTTGACTTAGGATCTTCTCCTCACTGTCAGCAGGATTTTCCCATTTCTATCGTTTGTAATGTTCAAGCCAGGACTAAGATTTGGAGGAAGCCAGAATTGGAGACCAGGACTCAGAACAGAGCAGATTCTCTGTGGTTGGGCTAGTATCAGGTGGGTTAACAAAGGAGAAGTAAGACATAGAGTGAAAAGAGACAGACAAGGGATGAGGCAGGAGAGGCCACCAGAGAGCAGCTCTTTCAGAACTTTGAATGCCAGTCCCCCAGATGTTGCGTTTTGGCCTAAGAGCATGGGGAACCATGGAAGAGACTTGAATAGGGTAGTGATATGGTTAACTTTACATTTTAAATAGATGCTCTGATGCCTGTGCTGAAAACAGAAGGGAGGAGGAAGAAACTGGTGATGCTAAAATTGGCAGAAATGATGGTCGCCTTACCCATGGGAGGTGACAGATGAGATGGTGAGAAGTGAGTGGATTGCAGTGAAGTGAAGGAGACAAAATGAACTATTTTGGAGGCCCTGTGCTAGATGCATTACAGTGATTATCTTGTTTAATCAGTACCACAACCCTATATATACCATTTTAAACAATCTTACAAGTCTACGGTCAAACTAGAACTAAATTAAAGATGGATTCAGAGTCAAACAACTGAATGCCAAAAGCCATCCTGTAACCCCTCCTGTGTACTGTTTCTCTTGATAAAACAACTAGAAAGTATCTATGAAATAATTCTGTGGTTTCTTCTTCTTCTTCTTCTTCTTCTTCTTCTTCTTCTTCTTCTTCTTCTTCTTCTTTTTCTTCTTCTTCTTCTCCTCCTCCTC